CTCCGAAAGCATTGGTTGTAGCTGGTTGTTGCTGAGCGGCGCCACCAAATCCAGTTGTTGGATTCTGCTGCTGTTGAGTATTTCCAAAGAGACCTCCTCCAGTATTTGTGTTGGTCGCCCCAAATCCACCCCCCGTTGAGCCAAAGCCTCCAGTGGTAGCTGCTGGTTGCGTGTTACCAAAGCTAAAGGCCGGTTTTGCTGCAGTGGTGTTGTTGTTGTTGTTGCCAAAAAGACCTCCTGTGTTGGTATTGGTCGATCCAAAGCCACCAGCTGTCGAGCCGAATCCTCCGGTACTTTGATTGTTGGTAGTCGATCCAAATAATCCACCGCCAGTCTGTGCTTGAGGTTGAGCACCAAAGAGCCCACCAGTCGCGGGTTTCGCGGCACCAAAGAGTCCACCGCCAGCTGTAGCGGTATTCGAACCAAAACCTGTGCTAGCTGGTTGACTTGTACCGAAACCCGTGCCTGTTGATCCGCCACCAAACATGGTTGAGCCTGTCGTGGCGTTATTTGTAGAACCAAAACCTCCCGTTGGAGCTTGGTTGGAACTACCAAATCCGCCGAAGTTTGTGTTTGTGCCAAATGCACCACCTTGATTTTGATTATATCTTAAACCCTTAGTGTAATCGGCCAATCGAAGTTCCTCGGGTGTAAAGTTTTTGTAAGGTTGTTGGAAGGATATGCTTTGGTAGGCATTCTGCATAGAGGAATTGGGCTCCTTCTCGACAAATGCTGTAAAAGGGACGGCTTGGGTGCCTTCGCACTGGGTACTTGCAGCAGCTCCTCCAAATCCAGTTCCTGCATTGCTTCCAAATCCGGAACCGCCTCCAAAAGCTGAAGGTGTGCTCGTGGCAGGAGTAGATCCAAAGCCACCAGTTTTGTTTCCAAACAGTCCACCTCCAGTATTGGTAGCACCAAATCCGGTTGTGGACGCAGCGCTACTTCCAAATCCACCACCGCCAAATGCACTAGTTGTTCCCGTCGCAGCACCGCCTCCAAACATACTACCACCTGTTGTCGCGGTTGTACTTCCAAATCCAGTAGTCGCTGGCTTTGCTCCAAACCCTCCGAAACCTGTGAAGAATGTCAGTAACCCATCATTAACCCATATGTCGAAGAGTGAAAAAGAAATTGCTGGAACGTGTAGTTTCAAAGAAAGTTGGTTTCATGGTTGAGATCGCTCGCCGTTGATTTAGATTGGATGATTCGAGAGCAAGAGCGAATGCGACACGAATGCGATCCAAGGTAAAACAAGCTATCAAGCTAAACAAAACATTCAGGAGATTAGAGCATTAGAGCATCGACATACCAGTACTGCCACCAGTATTACTACCAAAGCCTGAAGAAGCTCCACCGCCTCCAAACATACCACCACCCGTGTTGTTATTTGCACCGAAGCCGGTATTAGTGGGAGCAGGTGCACCGAAAACTATTGCAAGAGACGATTCGAGTAAGTAATGAGTTCAACGGGATCGCAGAGCCCCCTCAGTCTTTCCCGAGGCCCAGCGAATTATATGTATAGAAAATGTTAAAGCGTTGACCTACCTGAGCCGGTATTGTTGTTTGTAGTTGAGCCACCAAAACCTCCTCCAAATCCCGCCGGTTTATTTTGTTGGCCGAAGCCACTACCAAATGCTCCTCCCCCGAACGACATCTTGATTGATTATCGACAGTGGGCGAAGCGGATCTGAATTGCTGCTAGATGTAGCAGATTGCGAAACTGAAAAGTCGCTCTCTTTGTGGAGAGATGAGGTTGATCACAATCGCAGAAAAGGCGAACGCGCAAAAATGGAGAAATTGCGCTTAGGATCGAGAAAGTGTCGCATACATTAGAAATTGTAAAGAGAGTGCCAAAATTATCATCAATAACAAAGTGGTTGGATGATGTATGGGGGAAGAATTGAAGTTGGATTTGAAAGCCCGAAATTGTTTTGGTGATAGATTAGAGAATTTGTAGGAGAACGCGCTTTATTAATTGTAATGGTCGTTGGAAGAAAGTTCGGCTAGGGGAGGGAAGGGAACATGGGCCTCGAAAGTGTATGGGAGCTTGAGAATTTGAGAATTTGAGAATTTGAGAACCTCTACCTAGGCAACTTTAATCCAACCCATTAGAATCATGAGAAATACGGTTTAAACCAGTGAATGAAGCAGATATCTCGAAAGCCTTTCAAGAGGTACTGTTGCCTGGGATAAAAATATTTTCTTATTGTTGGTATGAGACTATGAGCACTGTGCGTAGGCACTGGGTAGTACAGCTGGTATTTGAGCGGATGACTAATAATATCTCGATATGAAGGTAGGTATTATTATGATACAGTGGTTGATTGCACCGTGGAATTCTGGACTCTCCTCATGAGTAAATCTGATCTGACATTTGTATGGTTAGCCAACCTACAACAGAGAAGAAATCCATGTTAGGCTTTCTTTGATATGACTCTTCTTTGTACCTGAGGAAGAAGTTCTACCATATGATTTGATACTTGAACTTTCACAGACTCTACAGAGATTCTACAGAGATTCTACAGAGATTCATAGCCAAGGTTCCCCGTTCGTATACAATCGGTATCATGCATACAATCGTATGTAGATGATCACCTGATGCTATACGCGTGACCAGCCTTCAATGTCACTATCTACCACCTGCCTAGTAGGCATTACCTTCGTCTTAGGAACGCTTTCTTTCCTTTTTTTCTCTTTTGACTATGGAATGGTACTTCGTCTGGACTCTGTACAATGAGTAACTCGGCCCCAACTCTGTGCATTCAAGTTTCCTACCTCGAGCTATCTAGTACTTCATGTCTCATGCTTTATATACCTACCTAGTGGTACTAGTCAGCCAGTTTACCCGATTGCATTTTCATTATTAGGTAGGGGGGAGAGATACGTCAATTAACACTACATACAGTGCACCAATTCCAACTTCCATGCGACCCGTGCTGACTAATCACACACCCATTTTCGAGTGCAGCCCTCATTCGACGCGTTCAGACTCAATTTTCTCCAAAAGCTTAACGCGTCGATTCTTCGAAACAGTAGTACCACCTTGCACCACCTTGCACCCTACCTACACTTTTAATCCCCAATCAGCCCATCATAATCACTTACATCAAATCGCTCCGTCCCACTTCACCACCCTGTCCGACAAAAACATAATAATAGCTTTCCTTCCCAGCCACTAACAACGACCCGTCTTCTCTAGACTTAGGTACTTGATACACGTTATTTTACAATTAATAGCCACTTTTTTCTCAATTGCTCCCACTTTGCGCACACTGTGTTTTAAATAAATAAATAAAGTGTTCGATGGCATCAACAAGTCAACCGCATTCTTCTTTCCCCGCGCGTCCGTTCAATAACCTCCGCAATCCTCCCACCACAACTGCTTTTGCTCAATCACAACCCGCTCTGGCTTTGAGGCAGAAAGAAAGGTTATCGAAGGATACCCAAGCGCAAGCTCCAGCCCCGGCCATGGTCCCGCCGGCTAATGCTCAAATGAATATCCTAAGTGATGAACAGAGGGAAGAGATCAATGAAGCTGTATGTCTACATATATCCCACGAAACACCATGCGCAAGACGACACAGCTCCATCAACAGTCGCGCGCATCGCACCAACCCCTCCTCCTCAACCCACATCAAAACGATGCGCTAACAAACCCCCCAGTTCGTTCTCTTCGATAACGACAAGGACCAAAGAATCGACTACCACGAATTCAAAGTCGCCCTAAAAGCCCTCGGTTTCGATCTGCCCAAACCCGAAATCCTGACTCTCTTAACCACGCACGGCATACCTCCCGACACCGCAGCGCGCAACGGCACACGCGATCCTAATATTCCTCCAGGGCGTCTGCTCCTGACTCTCCAAGCCTTCCAAACCATCGCCGGGAATCTCATAGCAGCGCGCGATCCTCGCGACGAGATACTGCGAGCGTTCGCTCTATTCGATACCGACGACAAAGGTATGATAACCCTTGAAGATTTACGGCGAGTAGCGCACGAACTCGGCGAAGGACTAGAAGAAGACGAGCTGCGAGCAATGATAGAAGAATTCGATTTAGAGGGCAAAGGTGGAGTAGGGAGAGAAGAGTTTATTCAAATATGTATGGGATGAATGAAAACCCCCAAACTCAATATATCATCTCATCCTCATCAAGGTCTCGGGTCACCCGTTGGATTACCACCTTCCCCCAGCCTCTGGAAGCAGTCCACCGATTTGTTCCATCGTTTCATCGAAAACAAAATCATCCCGGCCAATTCGAAGTACTGGAGCAGAAGGATAGGAGATAGAGACCTGTTTTGATTACAGTATGACGTTTTTGTCTTTAGTTTTCCGTGTATATCACATCGTTATACCATCAATCATATCAAGGAGTCAAGCAAGGAGTGCAGGCGTCGGTTTGGGTTACAGAGAGGCCAGGGTATTGCACTACCTTCATGCGAGTAGGTATGCATAATTACAGTACATTTCCAGGATACCACATCCACACGACGAGAAAGACATTCGTGATCTCAACATGAAAACATCTACCTGGCAGCCGAAGAATTTTGTCCAGAAGTTGCGTCGATGGCATCAGGTACCACTCAGCATTGCACGAAATTAGCGAATAGCATTCTTCAATTTATCACACATATTCACACTCCATAACCCAATCTACTCTAACTACACCTTCCTACTAAAGCGGAAGCCTTGCAATATCCCCAAACCATTATCCTCTTCTTTCCATCCAAGCCCAACCCAAATTGCTTATCAAGTTATCTCATCTCACAATGCACTCAAAAATCTTTCGGAGAAGAAGAAAAGATTGATTGCAAAGAAGGATAGTAACAATAGAAGAATGTAGAAAAGCCACCTCGCGCCTGTAAAGCAAAGGGGCATGCATAAACCAATCCAAGGCTTCCGAATAATTTCCATGTCGAAGTGCAAAACTTTATACCCTCCATTTTCCACTCTTCCCACAATGTCATGCATGTACCACTCCTTATCTGCATCCCAACTACTGTCTAAAATTGTATCAAATCTCCACCCTGTCCGTTTTGTCCCTGCTGAGGTCTGGGGCCGAAGGGATTGCTCGATTGGTTGAATCCGTTTGCGCCGCCATTCATACCAGCCGGTCCAGTCGCAGCTGGCACTTGTCGACCAAATGGACTGCTGCCAAAAGCACCAGCAGCATTATTTTGATATGTCGTCTGTGGCATGCCGGTATATTGGGTGTGGAGGAATGGGTTGTGGGCGGTTTGTTGTTCGTGGATACGTCCTAAGCCAGCACCTGCACTGTTAACAAAGGTTCCCGGTGCAGTATGCTGAGCTGGGATTCTGAGGTTTCCTGTATTTCCGAAAGTGTCCATTCCATCTCCGCTAGATAGCAGCGCATTGAGCTTAGCTTCATGTTCGGATACTTCTCTTTGGGGTGGTTGTGGCGAGAATGAAGAAGGACTGAAGGACGGAGTGTTGCTGAATGATGATGTATTGTTGTATTGGCCTAAAGTCTTTTGTTCTTGAAGAGTAGCGAGTGTTGGTTTGGATGCAGCGGAACTGGTTTGAGGGCGCGCAAATGATGATGCAAATGGATTGTTGGATCCAGTAGGCATTGGTTGTAAAGATTGGAGTGGCTGACTCTGGTTTGTGGCCCAGGGGTTGTTTGTTCCGGCGGGGGCAATTGGTTCTAGGAGTTGAGGTTGCTGCTGAGGCTGCTGCTGTTGCTGTTGCTGCTGTTGTGAGAACTGGTCATATGGATTGAATCCAGTGGGCTGTGGCTGAAACGGTTGTTGTTGTTGTTGCTGTTGCTGTGATGCGTAAGGATCAAAACCCGTTGGCTGCCCGGAGAATCCAGGCTGATAACCAGTAGCTTGATAGCCGGTAGGTTGCGCATTTTGGAAATTTGTATAGGGATTCAAATATCCCGTAGGTTGCATATCAATGGGATTTCCTGACCAATCGACGGCTCCTTGTTGCTGGTACCCTCCATTGAAACCAGTTGGTTGCGATAACTGGATTGGGTCATCATCAAAGAGCGAATGCGCATTCTGCTCTTCTAATTCACGTCTGCGCAACTCTTCTTCCTCTTGACTGAGCTTGAGAGCTTTAGCGAGATCATCGTCATCTGGTTCACGGCCCCCTTGCCTACTCTCGCGCTTCTTGCGATCTTCTTCCTCCTGGTATTTACTAGCTTCAATTGCCAGCCTATATTCTGCGTCCTCTTCGTCGGCGCGCTGCGCTCGGTGCGGTCGTTGTCGTCGTGGCTGTGCATCTGAAGGTTCGGAAAACTCATCCAGGCCAGTGACTCTAGATTTCCAGTTTTTGCGATCAGCGCGCTCAGCTCGAAGTCTATCCTCATCTAAGATCAAAGATGTCAATTCTTTAGCGGAGACCCGAACTAAGAACACAATTAGCAGGCTTCATTAGTCTCATCATGAAAATGCAAACCATTTTGACCGACATCTCTCCCATCCTCGTCAATATACTGGAACTCCCTCAAAGTCTTGATAATATAGAGATTCTTTCTGGCCCATGTCACTACCAACTCAGAACCTTCGTGCAGACAGTAATCCAACACTTTCAAGGCCTTCAAAACATGTCTCCAATTTTTGCCCTTGTCGTTCAAACGTTTGTCGATCATATCCATTATCTGGTAAAATGTTTCCGCCCTATAGTACTCGTATTAGCTCTGTTCACATTGGCAAGTGACAAAGGTACGCACGAATTGAAGGTTAGTTGGGCGATTTCAGCCATGTCAGATCCAACCGGACCCCATGGGTCGTTACTCGTAGCTATTAATCATCAATAAAAGAATCGGAAGTTTGACAGATGGATTATACCATTCCGAACTTTGATTTGCACATTGTTATATCCCTTCGTGATGTTCTTGACGCTTCGTACGACTTTCGACATGTTGGCGACCTGATCTCTCCTGAGTTCGATACCAAATGAATTTTAATGTCTGAATTGCGATCAAAGATTCGGCAGCTATCCAGCTACGATGCGACACCTAAGAGAGCCAATCGCGAATCGCGTTTGTATGGAAAGGCGATAACGGCGTAATGATGAATGATGTTGTGAGGTATGGCGTCGTAAGTGATCACTATGTAATCGCTTGATATGGCAATTTCCGATGTTAATGAATGAAGACCCGGCGTTGTATGTAACTAGCAGTAAAGGCTAGGCTAAGGCTATGCTTCGGTTGGCCCCGCACTTTCCAGTTCCTGATCAAAGGGAATGAATGTTTGAATGTCTAAAATTGATTAAAAAGGGTGATGTTTGATTTTGAGGTTGAAGGTGTGTTTTTTCTGAAGAGGTTGTTTAAGAGGATTATTAGGCATGTAGAATTAAGCATATAATATTTAGGTAGATAGATACCTAGGTAATGTCGGTTCAGGTTGCGACAATTTCCAGGTAGTGGCTAAAAACAGGTCCTCCGGCAAGCGGTGCAGTATGACGTTAGCGGGAACAACCCCAAGGCCCAGAAAAGTCACCATCCATCCAATACAATCATGTGACATGTATTTACAGTTCATGTCAGGTACATGCGAGCTATCATTGGGCTTCACTAACTGGGGACATTTGTTAGATAGATGTTTGAATTCAGATTCGGAATGTTTTGGGTTGTTTTGGTGTTGACTAATAAACCCCCTTTTTCCCCAATCAACCAACTACTGTACGGAATAACAAGTACTGTGTAATTGTCTTGCATGCATCAATGCAGATCAGCACTGTTGCCATACCCTTCCCCTTTCCATCTTCCAAATAATTCGCCTGTTTGCTTTCCTGACATACTCTACTGTCGACATTCGCACAGATCAAGCATATCACGGATTGATTACTTATATAAGTACTGGTGTTAAGACTCTAGATCAATGTATTCCATTGGAATGTGGTCAGTCACCAATCCCCAGTGAAAATCAGGAATCCGTCTAGATTACCGCAATATGCTCAGGTACCATATTCTTTCGAAATATGTGCACCAAGTGCATCCTCAGTCTGCAGTATTCAATCCCTCGAATAGTTCTTCATGCGAAATGATATCCACTTGCTTGGCTAGCCTGATTTTTGGTTGGATATGTAGACCCGCAGCCCTTAGCATTGCAAACCTAACGGCATCAATGCCATATTTCCTTCCAGCACATTTCTCAGATGTGCATGTAAGTATCTCTCCAGTCATAGAGTCAGCATCCTCAGACTCTGGATCCGGCTCGATCATTTCTTTTGTCTCTTGCAAGACTTTGTCTATGCGGGTCATCCTATTCTTCAAATTATCATTGCTCGGGATTCTTTTCGTATTTGAAGCAAACAAGATCTTATCAATCTTTGATAACACCACTTGATGGGGTACTTTCTGTGACCGCAACATTTGCAGCATCACACGATCACTTTCCTTGATTCCGTGCTCTGCATCAATTAGTACGAAAGCTCGTTTAAGCTGTTTCCTCTTCTCCAAATATTTGATGATTTCTTTTCCCCATTCAGGTCTTCCACCGTGTCCATATCCTGGCATATCCAGTACCACTAACCGCTCAATATTATCCTCAGACTCTTCATGCCCTCCGATCGCAAATGCATTCATAGACCGAGTTCGCCCAGGTTTCGAACTGGTATATGCTGCCTTGGTGTTGAGCAGAGCGTTGAGAAGAGATGATTTGCCAACCTACAACATGCCAGTGTTAGTCTGTACTTACAAGTGCAATAACTCGGGTCTTCTATATCTAAGGACCACAGATAGTATTCAACATAATGGAAAGATCAAGCTACAAGCCCAATAGTATAACCAAAGGAGTAAGCTTACATTTGATCGTCCTAAGAAACAAACTTCAGAGCTGTCTCCAAACTCCATGGCATAGAATTGCGATGTAGACCATAAGTGCTTGGGGGGTTTTTTGGTGAAAAATCCATTTGCGTGCACAAGTTGAGCTTCCGTGGGTGGTAAAGTGTCCCAGTGGTAGCAGAGCTTAGTAGAAGGAAAATTCATATGATGGGGTATTTGAGAATCATGACCTTGTGATATTGTCTTAAGTCCTCTGAGAATATAGCTCGCAGAGATCACATCCCGTCGATTTGTACGAGCGCATGACTGTATCCTCAAAAGCGTTGACATTGGAAAGGAATACGACGTTGAAGTGCAAGAGAATATAAATATATCAGTTGGACGAGGCTGCAAGGCTGAAAATATGTCGGAATTTTTGGTGCCGACAGTTCTGATTCTAAGGTGTGCCAGGATGGTGATTTCACACTCCTCATCAACTTCCTCAAACCTCACTCTCATCGGCGCGGACAACTACGAAAATGTCTTCTATTACGCCTACAAAATTGCGCTCGCTCTACCGTTCGTTCCTCCGCGAACTTCCATCTCGACCTCTCACACAAGAATCCCGCTCACCTCTACAATCTCGCATTCGCAAGACCATAGCCTCGGAAACAGGCACGCCAATCGAGCAAGCAGATCAATTCCTACAATATGTCAAGGCGCAAAGGATGTATGCCACATTACTTGAGAGATATAACCCTGGGATGAATATGGATGAAGAAGAGCGAGTACGCTTGACTGCCAGGAGGGTGGGAATGGATCTACCGGAAGAGTTTTCGTATGGGCAAGATGGAAATGGGGGCAAAGTCCAGTGAGGGTCGAAGCGGTTGTAACGACAACATCGCTCATGCAAATCAATGGAGGACGCGAAATCTTGACAGCGAATAAGACGGAAGCCTATTGATGGACCCACTATCCAGAGCTTTGGGATATGGTAACTCTTGAGGTTATTCCTGTTCAATGCCTTGTGCGCATACTAAGGACGAGCTATCACCCCAGTATCATACCAGTTTCGATAGGGCCGGAAGATATTTGTGTGAAATATGAGCTTCGCTGTACAGATCGAACCGACAATGAAGTAATGCAACCCAGGCCTCATTCAGTAGGCTAGCTTCTAGACATAAATAATAAAACTTAAGCAGTAACTTGTTGTTGGAACTCAATTTTGTCTCGTTTACTGTACGGTATCACGGTCGAAGTTGGATTGACAATCCATCCATGTCAGATAAGCAATGTGAAAAAAAGGAGCTTCTACTCTGTAGTAATGATGCTCACTTCGTGCTGTTGCTCAGTGACATGTCGACTTGATGAGATCCACTGTGAGATTTTGATACATAATACCGACTGTGATGAAAGTGCCGCCTCGGTATCCAGATGAGGTTTCTCAAGCCTTTCTTCTTGCCCAATTGCCAAGCTCAAGCTACGTTTCTTGTCCCACACATCACTTCCATCCAATATCGCACCTACCGAGATGTCTTCACCCATGTGTCTAATGAATTGATCAGTCCAGGATTTCCACGCTAACATCTCACTGCTAGAGTAGCAATTCCATACCGAAGCAAGGGCAATACAATTATAGCTTGTGATTACCTGGCTACCTATCCTCGTAAGTCCCGACGGAGTATATCCTAACTGTTGCAATTGTGAGATGCTTAATCGGTGAAGATGGAAGGGGAAAAAAGATAAGACATTTGATGACTCTATTTTTAGTTATCCTATAGAAAGCATTTTGTTGGTCTCGGGCTCCACATGCTATACATTTCTCTCCACGATCTTTAAGAATTAAGTACGAAGTACTGCGTAAGTGATAATTATAGTTGATATTGTTGGTCTGCATTCTCTGTTAGAGAAACATATAAGTCATGTCCTCGAGATTTTCGATTTCGATTTCGATATGAAGGATTATCACGCTTTGTACTCAAAAATTACATATACACATTCTAATTCAGGTACACACCACGGCTTACCCTCAACGGTGCATATACATATCAAATGAAAGCTTCAATGCTTCCTATATTGCTGTCGAAGCCGTCAATACACCCTTTTAAGAGCACGGATATGGTTTGGCGCATGAATCGTTGGGAGGGGAGAGGGGGAGCCCGTAAGCGCTGAACATATCAAATGAAGACTAGCAGACTAGATCCATGTCGAAATGTCACTGTATTATTATCTGATTGGTTCAATATGAAAAAGGCGGGCAGATTTAATCATGCACATCAACTTCGATAACTCCAATCGTGGGCCATGCCATATTTGGAACCCTGAAGTTGGTGGTGTTGTAAGGTAAGGATGGGAGCATCTTCCTTTGACCATGCTACCAGGCTTCAAATACAGCCATCTCGCCCCTTCGAATCAAAAAATCCCACCATGACCTAAAGGGTGGTCGATCCCGAAGGAAAAAAAAAGGGATATCCTTCACAACTTGAAAACTTCACCTCACACTCAACTCGACCCGTTTACATCTTGATGTTCAGATGAGACCAAAGGCAAAATCGTCTAAATAGGACGAAAGCCTGGCTTGAGTGCTTAAGTGCTTGAGTGTAGAGGTTAAGTCTCGTTTGTCGCGATAGCACCTTCGTGTTGCTATTTTTAGAATCGGGAGACTTTAAAGACACGACAATGAACCCTCATAGAGAGCATGGTTTCCGAAGGAGAATGGAACTGAATCCCATCACAACATCTCTTCAAGTCACTCCTCCTCACCATCAGACTCCGGGATCTGCTATTTCTGGAAATCCGAGCTCAGCATTTGGATATCATCCATCACAGTACAATACACCTCTGAGCTCGGTGCGACAGTACAACCCTTCACAATGGACTTCATCTCCCAGCGTCAGTGGTGGTTCAGATGCTTCGCACTATTCTGCCAGGCCACTTCACGATCCAGATGGTACTTGATTTCAAAAATTGTTTTTAAATTTCGAATTACATCCACAGTGTGCGCAGGGTAGTAAAAGCTAATATCAATTGTAGTAGTGATTCCGGCTCCACCCCCATACTCGCCACCGCGAAGCAATAGACCGGCAGGAGGGCCAGATGAGCATGTGTCTTCTCCCCCACAGGCATATCGGTCCTCCCCAGATATTTCACATACCCCTCACACTCCGACCCCAAGTACCCCACACCCAAATTATCCCCCTCCACCTGGTGGGCGATCGAGAGCTGGATCAAATGACCGACCACATGGCATCTTTGGATTCTCTAGAAGGCCAGTTAATCATTCTGAAAATCCCAGAATGTCACCAGCAAACAGGGAACCAATACCACCAGTTCCACCCATTCCAAGAAGAGTTGTGGAACAAACTCGCCAAGAACTTGCAGAGCCTATTTCGGTCAATGTTTTGCCTCCGGGGTCCCGTAGAGCTGCATCTACAGGGGCCATCAGCTCAGCATCCCCGGCGCATTCGCGAGATCCATCTACTACTCGATGGCAGCCTGGAATGCCCCTACCCCCGCCTCCACCTGGTGTTCCTCCACCCCCGAGATCCCAAAGTATGACCCGTACACTTGAAACTGTAACCTCTCCCCCTACGCGAAGACCGCTCCCTTCATCTTCTTTAGGTCCGGTTCCACCTACTCCACTTTCCCCTCCACCACAAGCTTCTGCCGCAGCATCAGATTGGCCGGACGAGACACCCGTAGCAGCATATCCTCGAAACCGCGTAGAAAGTCCCACGCTCCACATTGATACTTCGAGTAACATTTCTAACACAGCGACTGATTCGATTTCCGACTCAAGCTCTTCTAGCTTGGCAAGATCACGAGCAGTCAGAGGAGATAAAACAATTCGTGAAAGAAGAAGTGAAAGTAGAAGTGGGAGGATAGCCTACCCTGAATCGGCTATTGAACAATCAAATAATCCTTGGGCAGAAGCGATTACTCCTAGTGATATTGTTGTGCCCCTAGCGAGGCGTCAAACGATAACCAGGGCAACTCCGAGGAGCGGAAGATCATCTAATTATTCAGAAACTCCAAGATCGTCCCAACCCATGCAGCACAATTTGACCACTCCTGATCGTTTGAATGGAACTGCCACTGGCTCTAGAGGCTCGACTCCTAGACCAGTGGCGCCTACTCCGCCTTTCTCTCCTGAGTCTATCAGATCATCCACAATAGAACACTCACCATCAATTCCTTTGAAATCCTTGCCAACTCCCCCACCACAGTCAAGGATGGTTCAAAAGACTCCCAATAGCCGTCCGCCTTCCTTAATCATTCCTAAAAATGACTCCGCAGTCATTGCTGCTTCGAATGCATCCCAGCCTGCAACAGGTAAATCTGTTGCAAGTCAAATGTCTCAAATGACCCCAAATGATGATTTCGCCTGCTCTGCAGCAGAAAGACATGAAATATTTGTTCAAAGAGAAGCTAGTGCAACAAATGATACAGACCGTGTACGCATTTTTGCTGAATTCATTGTAAATGAATCTAGAATTCGTCGAGACCGTTATGCGTCTGCTATTGATGCAATGGGATCCGAGATTCTAGATTTAACTCGGGACTTATTTCGCCCTAATACTAGTACTCGTAGAGACTCTTCGACGTCTCGTGCAAGTGAATTTACACCTGCATCGTCAGCTGCGCCAAGATCTCATAGGGGCTCGCTAGTGGGAGCCGTGAAGGAAAATCTACAATTACAAAACTCAGAACCACGATCTGGATCTCGCCCACCTACGAGGCCAGCCTCAAGCCCGAATTCAAGACCTGGATCTAGAGCTAATTCAGCAGGTCCACCATCTCCAGCTCTAATACAACAAAATTCACAATGGTGGAGTCAACCTGGCTATATGCCTTCCTTATCACCAATCCCCAGTATGAGCGTTAGTGAGGCACTTGATGGTGCAAGTTCAAGAGGAAGGCCTTCAAGCAGATGGTGGGAGGTTAGTCAATATGGATCAGATGGAGCTACTTCGTCAAGATTTGAAAGATCAAAACGGGAATCAAAGTATATGGGCATGCCAAAGGAATTGCGTGAAGCGCTACAATTTGGTGAAGGAGATCAATCTTCGGGATCACCAATGGAGAACACATTTGGTGGGCCGAGTAATCCAGCCCATCTAGGTCCCAACGAATATCCACAAGAGAAAGCTGGCTTCCACCAACCGAATCAAGTATCTCCTGTGTTCCAGCCAATCGTTCCCCCAGCCCTTGTTCCGCGAACGCCCTTCACACCAAACCCAGAGCACCTTGATGTTTCAAGATTGGTCACATTGCCTCCACCTTATCCCCGTCACCACCCAGCAGTCAATAACAACCATCCAGATCTCACAAGCATCCGTACAACTGTTCGTACCTTAAGCGACATCACTGAAGTAGCTGCCACTAAAGAACGCTTCTCGAGGGATAGCGCTCAGATGCGGGAAGATCAAAATGCTGCTGCCTCCAAACGTCGAGCATCACTACGTCTTCGTATGCAACGCGATATTGAAGCTGGAACAATCTCGTACGCCGATGCAGCTGCATACGAAGCAGATTCTGTCACCAGCGAGCTTCTAAAATCGAAGGAAACCGCCAAATCTATCTTTGAACTCTTTCAATCTCAAGTCGTTCTTCCTGTCAACGAATTACTTATGACCCGTATTCAATCAGCCACTGATCTTTTCGAACAGCTACGAAGTAAACTCTTTAATGACTCAAGAAACCAGAATCCAACTTCTACCCAGGAAGAAGGTGACGAACAACCAGAGCTCATTGAAAAATTGACCCTTCTCAAATGGATTTTCGAAGCTCGTGAACAACTCCACCGTGAAGTTTACGAATTACTCTCAGATCGTAATGATCGTTACAAAGAAATGATAATAACTCCTTATCGCCTATCCCAAAATACCGAAAAAGTGCGCGGCGCAGAATCCTTCTTCGCAGAAGATGCTCAAAAACGCAAACAAGAATTTGAATCCGAGATCCTCAAGCGTACAGAGGAATTCATGGATATTATTGAAGAAAATGTAGTTCGAGGCGTGGAAGTTCAACTCGGTGCTTTCTGGGATATTGCTCCCTCTCTCAGTCGTTTGGTTGAGCAGATACCGAAAGATAGAGATTTAGAAGACTTTATGATACAAATCCCCAAAGAAGAATACGAGGAAAACCCAAGTTATTACGATTTTCCATTGCAATATTTGTATACACTCTTAGTCCACACGGGTAAATCAACATATCAGTTTATCGAAAGTCAGACGAATTTACTCTGTTTATTACACGAAGTTAAAGTGGGAGTAACGGCAGCAAATTGTCGATTAATGGCAACTCAACGCGTAGCTCAGGGAGAAGGAAAAGAAGAGGTGGAAAGAGAATTAGAGGCAGTGAAGAGGGAAGAAGAGGGAAGACTCACAGATGATTTGAAGGAGAAGGTGAAAGTTGTAGAAGAGCTTTGGAGGAGTGGCTTGGGGACTGAGCTGGATGAAGTGAGGGGGAGGATTGTGAGATGGCTGAAGAAGGTCGGAGGCGAGTTGCCGCCGGATGACGAGGCCTAGGAGTGTAGTGGGCGAGTCATCGCGCATGCTAAAGTGGCAAGACGATCTCCAATGCCTGCGCGTATGCATTTATGGGGACGATTTTATGTTATGATATGATTCGATATCCTTACGTTCAACGACTACGAAAATAAAGGTTAAGGGGCATAGAAAATTTCAATGTATATATTAATTTTTAACTCACGATCGTTTCTGGAGAGCTCAGGAGCAAAATCATTTAGATTGTTGGCGGTAGCTTTTGTAGTCTTTTCGATACCCCTTTTAGTATTTACATCGTTCTTCTTTTCGGCTATATGAGATTTATGGAAATTCAAGCAGACAATTTGATACAAGCCTTGAATGTGAAATTTGAATCATTGACAAGATTTAATATTGGGAGCTACATTTCTATCCTAGATACATGCATACCTCCAACCGAAAACATACAAACGATCGATCAGAATCCATAGATGGACACAGATACTAAAGAAAATTCTAAAACGATATCCTACCTCGTTTCTTATTCCCCACAGTTCTGGCAATAATTTGCTCCGTGATAGTCATAAGAACTTCTGTTCTGAGCCCTCAAGTTCGGGGATCGCAGGATGCTCGATGGGTGGTGAAGGTAGAGATTTTTCCTTGGTGTGAGATTCGGAGATCTCGATATTTGGTATTGGGGAGTAAGGATGAGATTGAAGCGGATGGGGTATCTGATCTCTCTTTCTATCTTGGTCTTGATTTGCTGCTTTCAAATTCAATCTTGTTTTTGGCTCTGCTGAGACCGTGGAATTACGTTTAGCAGATACTTTCTGGAAATTAGATGTTTTCGTCAAGAAGGAATTTTCGCGCGGACTTCTATCTTTAGTCTTCCTTTTCGGTACAGCTTTGAGATGTTTCCTATTTTTAGAAGACTCTGAATTGCTTGCAGAATGGTTATCTGCAGCACTTCCTCTTTTTACCTTGACTTTTTCATCCATAACGTGCTTGACTTCTTGTTTCGTCTCTAGTTGCGATTGCGATTGCGTTTCGTCTCGATTGGGTATCTGTTGTACACTTCCCGCCGAATAGGTTCTATTCAGTATTCTGTGATTTCGCCATCGACTATAGGATGGTACTGGTTGTCGGATTTTGATTGATTCTTGTTGGGGTATGTATACTTCTTGTTGATGACGATGGCTTTGACTAGGTGATGAGTATGAGTTTAACGGATGCATAAGCTGTTCTTGCTGTTGTTGGGAGGAGTATGATGATTTGTAACTGGGAACTTGGGATATGCTAGTTGGGGAGTTTGTCCAGGAATCGAAGGAAGCATGATGGGATGAGTAGCTTGGTGTTTCTTCCCCGGAGTTTGAGGAAACATGTGAAATGGGGTTAGTATGCTATTTATTTTGTCTATCAACGGGTTCTTCGTGACTTCGCGGTTGTATTTCATCGAAACTATCTCTCTGTCCCCCGTGCTGCTCACGAGGCTCATATCTAAGTGCGACATCATCGGGGCTGGTCCACCGATGTTGTGAAGTAACGTACGAGCGCTCTTCATCCGGTGTCTTCTGATATATCTCCAAGTCCTGCATCGATGATAGACGGCGTGCTAGAGGATTATCCTCCTCATGCACAAAGGGTACTGGTTGATCCTTTGCTGTAAGACGTTGAACTTGATTCTTTCTGATGCAGCTGATTAGTAGTAAAATGGCAAGCACTAACGTGCAAGTAACAATGCCGATGATAAGACCAATACCAATTTCCGCTCCGACTGGAAGGTTGATGGAAGAGATTGGTTGCTCTACTTCATTTCTTTCTATTGAGGCTGATGAAGCTGTGTCAATTAAAGAGCTTTTATTTAATAACTGATCACGAGCCATCAGCTTGGATCGGACATGCACTGCAGCCATTATTCATGTATCAAATAAGATTTTTTTAATATACAGGGAAAAGCATGTCCACAAACTTGTATGAACAAAAGATAATACAGATCCGATGCATCGTATGAATGATATACAATTTCTCAAGAGATATATAAGCTCGGACCCACGACGAAGGGAAATATTGAACGACCTCATCGAGGCCAAAACCAAGGCAAGGTGAAATTTTCGATGTCTTTAGACACTTCAGCCTTATAGGCCTAATGGCCTTTAAATCGACCTCTCATGCATTCAATATTGGTATATCTTTAGCTATATAACCAATAGAATTGATTGCGCTTGACTTGTTGGTTTCTAAGCGCCGACTTTTCAATATTGTTACATTTACCTAGTATCGAAAGGACCGAAGATGGTGGCTTTACAATAGCCCATTAGGTATGGAATGATGATATAATGACCAACTCTAAACATTTCATGTCCTATAATGAAAGAGTAGCTTGGCCTTCGCTTCGATTTGGCACTCAATGATATCAGAGTGTATTTCTTGTTGGTACTTTTCTAGGGTCAGACGCTAAGAATTGTTTTCCGGGGAAAGGGGCTGCGTTGAAAAGAGTTTTCTGCGCAGACATTTGTCAATCAAGAACTGGACAGTGTGCAATGAACCTCTATTACCCAAAGCTGTCACATGCATCATTGCCTAACTTTTCGATTGTATCATGTGCAACGCGCCCTCCTTTTTAGACTCCATTCCAAACGATAGAAAATGATCTTTAAATTTAGCGAAATGACTGGCTGAGCCTGTGAAGTACAAAAGTCCCACCAATCAACGGCATGCAAGTAGTGGAAGACACTAAACTATTAAAGTTGGTTGGTATAAGGGGCCCTTATTCAGAGATGTATAATAATTCCCGTACGCCTTGCTATATGGAGGTTGTGACAATCTAAAGATCTATGTCCTAGAACTTCGCTAGAATATGATGATGTAATGATGCACAACTTAAGACTTAAGCTATCCACTTCCAAGATCTCTTTTCCACAGAATCAAAGAATCGCACTGCAATAACGCAGAATGTAGCGCCAGACAAAAGCGCAGCATCAAACAAAATCACCGAACGATAATTTCCCAGCTTGCTCTCCCCCAGAATTTTGCCACCAACCGGACTACCAAGCATGGTTCCGAGGCCTCGAACAAAATAGATAAACCCATTCACGCTAGCGTAGGCCTGGAGTCCAAACACTTCCGCCACAGTCTTTCGGTTCATATGTAAGCGAATTGGACAGGTTGAGATGCACAGAGACGGGGAAAAAGTGACATACCGTTGGAAATAGAGCATTATAACCACCACCTGCAACTCCATAAAAAACCACAAAAAGTAACCACAATGCCTTGTTACCATCTGAAGTAGAACTCCCTAACCAGAATCCCAACACCGATGTAACGCACAAAATGACTGTCAGAATTAAAGTATTTTGTCTCCCAAACCTATCACCAGCAAATCCCGTCATAACTCGACTTATAGAATTAATACCGTTTGAAACAGCTAGCAACGTGGCCCCAAAAGCAGACGTGTAGCCCAAAGCCACGGAGTACTCAGCCAAAAATGTGAACGGTAGTCCGTTGCCTCCCGCTTGTAGGAAGCCAGCTCCAACGCTAAAGATGAACGCAGGCTTTATGGCCAATTTGAGATCGACGTGAGTTTGTCTCCTTCCTATGAATCGCGATGGAGCTGCAGTGGCGGCAATCGGCAACGCAACGATCAACACGAGAAGAGATAGTAAACGGAGCGTCCATCTTGGTCCAATTGATGTCAGAAGAAAGCGTATCAAAGGAGAGAAAACGAGCCCGCCAATACCTGCACCTGATAGGATAAACCCCATAGCTGAGCCGCGGTGGGTCGTAAAATACTCTGGTGCTGTGCTGAGAATTGGATAGTAAAGAAACGATGAACCGATGCCATATAGCAAGCCTTGTGTCAATAAAAGTTGCCAAACCTAGTGGGAAGATTCAGTTAATGATATAGTGAGGGGGGGACTGTAGTGATCGAACTTCTTTACAGACACTAGCCAATCCAAAGCCTAGGCTCATGAAAGCAACTCCCATCACACAGATATATCTGGAGCCTTTCATACCTAGTCTTGCCATCATAGGATTTACCACAACGCTACCCGCCCATGTAAGGCCAGACCCGAGCGTTCCCACGAAAGCTACCAAGGCGCCTTCGTTACGAGTGGATTTCGGAAGCATGGTTTGGGCTTCGGAAATATAGTAACTCTGAAACACGCCATAAGATTGATTGAGACCAATCGTGATACATATTGTCAAAAAGCTTGAGATGAGAATTGTGATGCGTCTTTGGCGAGTTACAGGCCGTAATTCGAACGTGTTTCGAGGCGACTGGCGTTCGTCTACATTTAGAACACCCATTCGATTCGTCTCATTATTCACACGATTTGAAAGGTCCGGAAGAGGATGCCTATCAATTGCAGGCGCCATGATAATGCTTCGGTATCTGTTTTGGATTGAGTATTTCAATATCCAAATTTCATCTGACCATTAAAGTTCCAATGCAATAAGATACCTGCAGTGATAGGGGTAAGTTAAACCTATGAAGAAGCGAATACTAAGTCTGATTTGATAGGCGAAAACTAACAAACCTCAGAAGATTGTCGACAATAACAATCATAAATTTATTCTGAAATGGAAGAAGTGATATATATTATAGTGCTTACTCATCTTCTTCTGTTAGACTGACCACTAAAACAAGTTACTGCCGGAGATCAATACGGAGTGGGTGTGTTCACCCGTCAGTTTCCGTCTAATATCCTCGGTTATCATAGCAGTACATACATAAATAGCATCTAAACAAAAAAGATGGGGATCAGAACTTAGATCTGTTGGTACTCGCTCAGGCTCAAGTTTTTCAGAATAACAAGGGATTAAAAAAAAGTAGCCAGCTATGGAAAGTGATTATTTTTTGCTCTTCATTCTTCAAGCTCATGGTATATCCCCTAGAATTACAAGGTCTGTTGCGGTCATGGTAATAACTACCCGCGCCCTCCTCGAAACGCCCATTTTAATCATATGTTTGAGCTCATATTACATCTCACTGAAATTTTATATTCAATGAAATCAGAATAGAAGAGTCTTGATCCCTTCATGGACACCTACTTCCTAAATGCTGCAGAAATGTCGGCTCTTGTCCATTCAGCAATAATCTCTCCATCATAAACATCTCTGCTGATTGTCAAAATTCTATCGTCGACTCTTTCGTACAATCTCTCGCATTGTTGGTGCACCTTGATAACAAGTTCTCGACTGAGTCCTGGATCATCTGCATCGCCGAAATGTTTTTCGACTCGCTTTTTGAGAGTTTCGATACCTTTTCGAATCTCCTTAGCATCATAACCAGCAAGGATTTTCTTGAAAGTTGATTTAGAGTGACTAGGCATCGAGGAAATTCTTGAAGCCGATTCACCAGGTTGTCTTGAAAGCATAAGACTCTCAGTGCTTTCTAGAAAATCGAGAAGCTTTCCTAAAGGCCTACGAATCACAGCACCAAGATACAATGTCATGTGTTCATCCATTTCTTGGCTAGCATTCTCGCGCCATTCTTCAAGTATCGGATTGGAGCGAACATCCACTTCTTCAAGGTAGTGGTTCATATTTTCGATGAGTAAAATCTGATAGTTGAGGGCCTCCTTGTCCTCTGGATCTGCGCCTGCAGTCTGGGCACTTGGGTTCTCTCTTGCGATGACTTTTAGAGACTCAAACATGGTTTTGTTCAATCGCGAATATGCATTATTTACGATTTGTCGAACTTCGAGGCCATCGGCGGACATCAGCATCGTTTCTATTGCCAGCGAGAATGAAGGGAATATCCTTATGAAGCCAATAACACCTTTTCGCTTCTTTATTTTGACTTTGGTGTCTTCGATGGCGCGTATTTGCTCATCGACAAACTTGTTAAAAAGGCCCAGTAAACGAGCATGTAGTTTTTGAAGTGTGCGTGCCAGGTATTCCTGGCTCGATTCCTCGAGGTCGACAAGCTTGCGTTCAATTGAAACGAGTATTCCGACACCTTGCCTATTCAAAGAATTAGTGAGGTTTTCTGATTAGTTTAATGATAGTGGACTTACAATGGATCAGATTGGAGGGACCAGTCTACGAGTGCTTGCATATCACCAGCCCAGAAAGCGTAAATTTCTTCCATGGTCTGCACGACACGTTTTGCCAAGATCCGGTTCGGGTCCATAACTTTTGGCCTTCTCAAGTCACCACCTCGTCGCAAGTCTGGTGGTGCAGCAGCGATGGAATCTGCAAAATCGTGTTGCTCTAGTGATGTGATATGGAAAAATTCGACAATAAAATTTTGCTCCATGCTCATGATTGGAATCATTTCATCAAGGGCACCCGTAAATACTTCGTTTGGAGGTAGTCGACCATCCGCCTTATCTGAGCTAGCTTTGTTGCCGCCGTCGCCAATTGGGGATCGTATCTTTGCTAACGTTTGACTTCTTTTCACCGTCAGTTTTCTGGCCGTCGTGGTTGCGAGGCCTTCGGTATGTTTTTCAGTTTGTGATGTAAACAAGATATCAGATTCATCCCCATGTGCTTTCCTAGCGATCCGCTTCCAGGCAAAAACAGCGTCCCTGAACTCGTCCTGGTACAAAGGTTTGCATGCAGACTCGTAATCTAACAAAAATCTCTCCCATTCATCGGGGGCAACCTCTCTGGAGAACAACATCAGTGGACTGTATCTCCAAAGGGCATTTCTCGCAAGATCATGATGACGTGGGTCAAGTTGGCCCTTCCCAGCTGCTCTACTGATATTACCACCCTTTTCTCTGTCTAACGCTTTTCTCGTTTCGTCAATTGCAGCGCGGAATTTCATTTGTAAGAAAGAATGCAAGCGCTGGAGAAACTCAACGCTCGTAACTCGGTATACATCTTTTTTCTCTTGCAGGACTCGCATGCTTCCAATCTCGCTATTGCCGAAACCTCCAGTCTTCCCAGAACGAACGCTGCCATC